TTTTTTTTTTTTTTTTTTTTTTTTTTTTTTGCTTTAACTGATCATCTTTAGGCTAACTTATTTAAAAAATTCCTAAGGAACTTCAAACTCTGCCTGAAACATACTAATTTATTCATTGAATATGCCAAAGACCAAAACAGTCAGTAAACTTGATTATATCTTTAGAATGCTTACATCGATCGTCTTATATAACTGATTTTTCGTTTCTGTTTTCCAATACATATCCATATTTGCAAACCCGGTCGTCAGCAATACGAGAAAGAGTACCGCTAATTATCACTTCAACCGGGCAGCTATTGACTGATCCAAAAGATCAGGCGTTTGAGGAAATCGCATTGAAGGTTGATATTTTTAGTGTTCCAAGACCGGTAAAACACAAAAATTTCAGATAAGATGGGTTCAGTTACTTGCCTATACCATCTTCAAAACCACTTGAAAATTTTTTAAAAAATCAGGGTGCAAAAGTCTAAGAAGTCTAAGAGTTCTAGCAATGTTTTAGGCACTTGGTGGATTTATACTAATCTTAAATGAAAATGGTGAGATTTACTACGCCTCTGAAAATATTGAATCCTACTTAGGGTTTCATCAGGTATTGTTCACTGCTTTCAGTTACTCCCCAGTAGTTTCACTTGGAATAACAACAAAAAAAAATTCTCCTAAACGCAATAAATTTTTCAATCAAAATTTCTGTTAAACACTTCCCAAGACTTTCAAAAAAAAAAAAAAAACATTTTTTAGTAATTTTCTTAGAAAAGATTTATGCTTATAAAGCTCAACTTTTCAGTCCGATATTCTACATCAACCACTGTTTGAAATGATACATTCAGAAGACAGAGAAGAAATTAGGCGACAGCTAAACTGGAGATTTAATTTGCCATCCAATTTTACCTGCTTACAAGATGTTTTTACTGCAGGTGAATTTAGTAGAATAAAGACATAAAATAAAATCCAAAATTTTTGTGACGAATGGTTTTTGCAGGTGGAATATACTATCTTGAACGAAATGTTAGCGCACGTTTTCGTTGTCTACTTGATAATACTTGCGGGTTTTTAGTAAGAATTTTATAACTTCATCATAGTCACTGTCACTTGCTAATTTGATTCAGAAATGTCACCTTTATCACCGCCTATTCAAGATTCATCAATTTTTTTTCTACTCTAGCGTATCGATATGCGGGGTAAGCTTATGGCGCTTCACGGTATTCCACGATCATTTTTGCTTGGAAGAAACGATACTTCCAATTCAGGCAGTGTTGTGCTCGGACTCATTGCCATTTGCAGGTATACCTAAGCTTTTTTTGAATATTATTCTAAATATAAGTTCTTTAAGTTAGTTGTTAGAAACTAAACTTTCTTCCCCGTCAACGGTTTAAAGACGATCACATAATATTATTTAACATCTTATAATGTTTAATTTCTAATATCAAAACAGCTGAGACTTTTTCAGTCCATTTGTACCACCAATTGAACAATTTGCTGAGGACCCAATTTTGAAAACAAAACATTCTTTGGATATGACGTTAATTTCGATGGATAATAGAATCAGGTTAGAAAATTATGCAGCTCTAAAGCAAATTTTTTAAACTGCCCAAAAAATGCTTTGTATTCGGAAGCCCAGAAACCAGTTTTTTTCCTGATGAATGGGCACTTAGAAATTGATAAAGCCATATAGAGCTATAAAAAAATTGTCATTTAGAACTGTACTAGAACTTAGTGACAAAAACTTGCCGCGAAGCTTTTACACGTTAATCCATACAGATGATATTTTCTATGTCGCTGAAGCACACCGGGAAGGTAATACCTTAATCAGTCTAGGAACAGCTGTATATTGTAGTTAAAATTCAAATTCTTTGTAACCTAAAATTACAGTGAGCAAAAATGGCGTTAGTGGCTTGTTAATTTATCGAATTGTCAGTGCTCGTTCCTGCAGAATCTACTGGGTACAAAGCAGCTGTCGAATGTTTTATAAAAATGGCAAACCGGAATCAATTGGCCTTACACATCGTCTTCTAACGTAAGGTTTATATGCCTGATGCTTTTCAATTAGTTATTCAAGAAAAAGTATTATAAATTAAGTAAAAAATTCTACTATTACCGACAGATAAAAGGTAACTTATTTTCAGCGAAGTAGAGGGAACGATGCTGTTAGAGAAGCAAGGAACCTTACGCACAAAGGTTTTAAGTTTTGACAATCCGTTGATGGCAGCGAACAGAAACCCACCGAACAATGAACTTTTGCAACAAACAGTCAGAAGTAAGTGTTAAACGTTTCTTCAAACTGATAATTTCTTGTTCTTTCGTCGTTATCCACTTCTCTTCGTGTAAAATT